GTAATATTGCAATGATACATGTAATATTGCAATGATACATGTAATATTGCAATGATACATGTAATATTGCAATGATACATGTAATATTGCAATAACGACCTAAAACCAACTGAAGACTATAGGGTCAAAATGACTGTAGTCACACACTGGAAATTGTGAGGGTGCCAATTTTAAAAGTTTGTAGACTCATTACTTCATATTTGGTCGACTGGTGGTTTATTGTTAAGTCTTAGTGTAATTGAATGGAAAATCTAACAACAATAATCAACCAACAGTTGAACAGAAATACAGTCATAAGTCAACAAGTGTTCAAAATTAGTACCCGTGCGATTGTCAGTTTGTGACTACAGTCATTTCCCCCCTGTAGTCTTTATTTGGTCGTTATTGCAATATTATCATTGCAATATTACCCGATAAGCTTAATCTTTTACGAAGCATTGTTATGAGTAGATTATGGTTATTTGGACTATTGTGGAGACTTTTGGCATCTACAGGGGGGCGATGAGAAAAGGGTGGGAGGCGAGGGGGTCAAGTTAAGGAAACTCAGATCCATAACGTTAGAAATGGTAGCCATCTGTGACAATCAGAGACGGTTCTTCCATAGAGCACGGTCGTGCAGTGCCAACCAAACTCACCAAAGATGTAAGAGCTGGCATGCTGTGCATGTTAGTTTGGTTAAGCGTTGCTTGGTGGTTTGTTGTACAAGACAGATATTATAGGCCTAATCAATTTTCTACATCTTGTTGTTGGAAGCTGTTACGTTTTGTTTGGTTCAAAGACGTGATTATCGATACGACCCCTGGTCCAGCATCTTTAATCATGTCTTAGAATTAAAAAAGATAGTACATCGTAAATATGTATATCTAATAGATGTAATTCACACTCGCACATACACACTCGTTTTAAGTGTGTGTGTGTGTGTGTGTGTGTGTGTGTGTGTGTGTGTGTGTGTGTGTGTGTGTGTGTGTGTGTGTGTGTGTGTGTGTGTGTGAGGTGTGTGAGTGTAAGGGAACGAGATTGCTCAATTCTTGAACTTTAATTATTTATTAAACCCGTCTTTGAATTTAAAAAACTGACACCACCCACGAAGACATTTAGTTGTGTTTTGTTTGAATAGAACAATTCTCTTTTTTCTCCTTCTATGAACAGTAGAGACAAGCATTTGGGTTAGAGTAAATTTCAACCCGTCATTTTTATTATTATTTTTAAAAAGTTTTTTTCTCACATGACTTCGAGGCCACCTATATTATTTATTTGGCCACTCGGAGAGCTCAGGAATATCATGCTGGGATGCGAGGCGTTGATCCTCAACGAAACATACTGAATTTGGTTATTCTGTGAAGTTTGTTGTTGTTAGTGGGAAGTTTTTTTCCATTTCATTCGGAATTCCGCGCCCTTGTTTGGCTCAGACGTATCATAAATGGACATATAATTCTTAGGTCCCACTCTAAATAACCTTACAGTGTTGAAAGAGGCGTTAACATAATGATAAGGCCTATACAATTTCGAACATTATATGTATATATATATATATTTGTTCAACTCAAAGTTCTTATTCAAAGGTTATAAAACCTGATGGTGTTTCAAGTGCCGTAAAAAACTTACGAGAACTAAAAGGTTTCCTATACCCAAGAATTGTTTCCCGTCATTGCTATACAAGTTCCATAGACATAGACTTACACTCATAGACCACGCACTGTCATGGCCACCACCGTCCTATCACTCTCTATAAATACTTCACAGTGACACGTTCGCACCATGAGACGCGGCATTACGCTAAAGGAAGGACCTTTGGGGCCTCTCGTTGTCGAGATGTTACGGTGTTCGCCTCTCATTCAATAGGTCAAGGGTTCGAATCCGGACAGCGAGGGATAATTTTCTTCTTTAAAATTTTCTCCTTTTGCCTCCTTTCTCGCTTTCTAACAATGTTCTGTTGTCTGTTTTCGACTCCACTTTCTGCCCCCCCACCCCCTCGATCACCTCTTTTGCCTCCTCCTCTAGGCTCCTGACTCTTTCTGCAGCCTTTCTACTGCTACTCCTTGGCTCCTTCTTACTACTGTCTTTCAGCCACACCCCTGATCCTATGGCAGGTAAGATCTAACACCTAACCTTTTCGGTTAAGGGTGAAAAACCTCTTGCAAGTTGCACACGTTAAAGATACCTTGGTGGTCAAATGAGAAAAATTCGTCTAAAGTGCCTTTCCCAAGGACACAGCGTCGGATCCCTGACGGGATTCGAACTCACGACCTTACGGTTGCGAAAATGAGAGCCTAACCACTGGGCCACCGATGCCACCTACACTTATTCTGTGATTATATTTGATCTAAATATTCTATGGAGTTGCGAGCGCCGTATAAACCTGACAAAATCTAAACTAAAAACATGTATTTTGTGCAACAGCCGGAATCACAATTTCGCCAGGGGAAGAAACACAAACCATTTTGATCTAAGCCCCAAGCTTTTACAGAGTTACGCACCATTTCGTAGAGCTACATTTTTAAATAAAGGTATTCACGTAACCAACACGTTGATTATAGAGTTTGAGCACTATGACAATTCAACACATTTTAAAAACATTTTCATGTCTAGACGAATGGTAGTGAGCAGCGTGCAGCTTAAACATTACTCTCCTTGGGCCAGTAAAAAAATCCGGAACAAAAACTGCTAAGAAGGTTTTCCCCCTTTTTTTCCTTCTCCCATGTCTCTTTTTGGGCTGCCTTGTTATAATGATCCTATTTTTATGAGACAATCATTGCCTGTGATGAGATGGGTAAGTTAATGCAGCAATACAGTGGAGTTTGCCTAAACCAAAACACGTTTAATCCGAAAACTGTGGTTAACCGAAAAATATAATAAATTTCCTAATTTTTCTTCTTGTAATTGAGCAACCTTTCTAAACCGAAAACTCGGCTACACCAAAAGAAATCTGATTGTCCTTCAGATTTCAGTTGAGTGGGCTTCATTGTATTTCTATTATATCAATAAGAAACAAAGAGAAAGCTATGTTGAGATATAATTGATAAAATACTTGAGTCCACGTAAACTGAAATCTGTGGGACCGCCAGATCTTTTTCAGATTAGCCTGGCGCTGACCAGATGACAAGGACATGACGTGGTTACTTGAGGGAGGCATTGCGCTGCCAAGAATGAAATGCTCCCAGCTTAAGGATTTGAAACAACAACAACAACAACAACAACATCAACAACAACAACAACAACTTCAGAGTAGTCAGGTTTTCGGTTTAGAAAAGTTGCTCAAATAGAAGTAGAAAATCCGAATTTTTAAATTTCTTTCAGTTCAGCGCTGTGTTCGGATAATCCATGTTTGGTCCCCACGGTATTTGTTCATGATTCCCGTACCTTTTGTTGCGGTAGATTCTAGATCTCCACAAGACTGTTCTGGAGGGTTGGACACATACGCACGCACGCGCGCGCGCACGCGCGCACGCACGCACGCACGCACGCACGCACGCACACACACACACACACATACACACACATACACACACATACACACATACTCACATTCACACACACACTTACACACACACACACACACACACACTCACACACACATTCTCACACACTCATACACACACACACACACACACATTCACACACACTCACACACATATACACACATAAACACATACACACATACTCTCACACACATACACACACGCTCACACATACACACACACTCACACACACATACACACACACACATACACACACACGCACACATAAACACACACACACACACACACACACACACACACACGCCTGCACACTTTTCTGTGAATTTACTTGAATGACTATTTATGCACGGTGATTCAATCTATTTTTTTATGAACAGTAAATGTGCAAATAGTTGAAATTGTCCCACTCGGTGATCCACTGTTGTGGAGAAATGTGGTTGTCTTAGACAGGTGGGGGTCTTGGTCGCTGTCATCTATTATCTATTTGTGGTGGCCGAATTTTGCTATTCAAAAGGCTTTTT